TAAGAAAAATGGAGAAATGAGGAAGTCAGCCGGAAAGTGGAAGTAAACTGTGCCAGCAGAAGCAGCAGCTGAAAAATAAGTTACCAGAGAAAAAGCTAAGACTGGGCGAAGGTGCAAGTAACGACCGAGAAAACAACGCATAACAAGAGAACACAAGAAGAAAACACAGACCGGTAAGCTCTTTTCCGTGCTACACTCAGCTCGCAGCTTTCTGGGGAGGTGACTGGAGAGGGCTCCACTTTAGGCTCCACCCAGCTGCCTACACATCCTGGGGGCGGGACTTGGAGGACTGAAGCCGACTCTCCAGGTTTTTGCAGGGAAGAAAAATGTGAAAGGACCACCAGAGAACATCTGAACTTTTAATTATTCCACTCAAGTTTGAATGGTTTTCTAGAAGGAGAAGGAAGGGTAATTTAGTAATATAACTACCGTGTAACAATCTGAAAATGAACTGTAAATCATTAAGATTACAATAGAACACATACAGCAATAATTCACTTAATGTAAGTAAACTGGCGATATAAGCAAAAACTGTACATTGATTATATTGCACTGGCTGCAAATAATATTACCCTAAATGTAAATGATATTACACTACTGGGAGGCATATACATAGTGGTCAAAGATTGTGACATTGGAATGCCTAGATTCAAATTCCAATTCAGATACTTTCCAACTATGATCATCAGCAAGTTACTGTAAAAAGGATTTTCTAAGTGGAGATATATAATATATACATTATATTCACTATATATATATGTATGTATTTAGCACAGTGCCTAGAATGCATGTAGCAAATCCTCAGAAAAGAGTAGCTGTTATTATTAAAGTATATACAGGTTTGCTTAAAGAAAATATTTCTCGGGTGCCTGGGTGGCTCAGTCAGTTAAGCGTCTGTCTTTCGGCCCAGGTAATAATCTCAGGGTCCTGGGATCGAGTCCCACATCCGGCTCCCTGCTCCGCGGAGTCTGCTTCTTCCTTTGCCCCTTACGAGGCTCATGCTCTCTCTCTCTCAAATAAATAAAATTTAAAAAAAAAATTAAAAAAAGGAAATACCTCTGTTTCAAATCATTAAATTACATGTTTCTTAAGTGTTTTTTCTATAAAAAACTAGATTGCGAGGCAGGATAGTCTAACTGACCCTTGAGATAATAAAATATGGTTAAGTGCCCTAGAGATGTACAACATGGTTCTGGTTGGTTCAGTTTTATTTATCCTAGCAGCTTCAGCATTTATCAACCTATTTTCCTTCATTTAGTGTCTCTTTCACCCAAGACAGTGTGAACTTACTATTTCTACACAGGATTAAATGTAAATTAATAACATAATCATACATAAACTTCTAAACTTCTCAAGAAAAGGTAATAATTTACAGAACTACAATATTTCCAAATAATAGAATCACTCTGTATTTTGGTTGCTGTTACCAAAATGTCTATAGGATCTGTGGGTTTAATTCAGAAGGAGTCACCACACCTGAACCTCACAGCTACTCCGAGAATACTGTGCATATTCTACATGTTAAAGTACAGACACCGCCATTTTCTCCTGATCGGCAAGAGCAGAGATTACATTAGTGGCCATTATTCAAATATTTTCAGGTAAAGTATTAAACTATACCATACGAAATGGCAGAAAATCACAATTTCACATGGTTCAGCCCAAATATATTTTGCTTATAACATACTTTTTAAAACCTCTTTGAGGGAAAATAGCTTTTGTATTTGTTTTACCAAAACTATTATTTTTGTTTTCTAATAATCACTTTTGGTGGGAGGGGTAAATAAAGGAGTTATTGTTCAGTAGATATAGAGTTTCAGTCAGGCAAGATGGAAGAGTTCTTGAGATCTTCTGTACAACAATGTGCATATGGTTAAGACTACTACACTACACTTAAAAATCTGAGAGTAGATTTCCTATCATTTTTTCATTACAAAAATTATAATAATAAAAAAAGACAAGCTTAAAAAGAGAGCTCCCAATTTCTAGGCCATGCTTCTCCTGGCTGGTTAAAATAAACATATTTTTTTTAAGATTTCACTTATTTGTTTAAATAATTTATTTATTTGATAGAAAGAGAGAGCACAAACAGGGGGAAAAGCAGAGGGGGAGGGACAAGCAGACCACGCTGAGCGCAGAGCCCCTTGTGGGGCTCAATCCCAGGACCCAGAGCTGAGATCATGACCTGAGCTGAAATCAGGAGTTGGACACAACTGACTGAGCCACCCACGCACCCCTAAAATAAACATAATTATTAAGAAAATTTTAAAAATATCTTTTTTAATGGCATTTAATTATATCAGAGAATGTTTCATATTGACAATGACATGACATTCACTTGACCCTAGCTCAAATTTCCAACTTTAAATTCTTCATGATGCTTTCCACATAGTACTGGGTGCTCAATGTCAATTTATTATACAAATTAATATTAGTAAAAGCTATCAATTTTCAAGGGTTTTCTTTATTGAAGAAATATGTCTAACATAAAAACATGAAATTAGGGCTAGAGAATGGTTAAAAACATACTAAGTAATTTTTCTCCCACTTCTCATTCCTTGTACTCAATTACACTGATAGATACTTTCCAAGCACATCCACTGAATTCTTTAAATTAATTCCTTCATCAGATATTTACTGAAACATTATTGAGTTCCAGGCACTCTGATGGAGCCTGGAGACAAACTGCAAAACAATATGATAGAGACTAGAGGAAGAAGCATGAAGTATTAAGGAAGCACCTTCCTTGGGGAAAGTGGGTAGAGGACACAAAGGAACCTTTAAAAGCAAGCAACACTAGAGGTAATACTTTAAGGATAAGTGGAAGCATAACAATTATGTTTCATAAGGATGAAAAATATTTTGAAAAAACTCCATTGAAATTCAAAAAATCAGCAGAATCTTGTAAACCAGCTCCCCAACCAAACCCCAAATCCCAAAAATGTAGTTTGTGTTGAACTTGACCATATAGGCCAAATAGTTCAAGTACAAAGATAAAAATTCCAACTTCGGAAATTTATTTTACACAATGCAAAGACCCCTCATCATTTATATCAAGAAGGTACTCTTTGCTTTCACCAACACTAATATATTTTATCAACTTCTAGTGTAAATGTAGAATTAAGTTTATAACTGTTTGGTGCCAAATTAAACTACAATATGACAATATACAGATTCAAATGTAGGAGAACTTAAACACAAGCCCTTGGGGAGTCAGTGAGGAGTTCATGAAGAAAGTCATACACTGACCTTCAAAAAAGTTGAAGTTTGCCCACTCAATTTCTCCTTCCAATAAGTTTTTTGTATTAACTTCATGGCCACCAAAAACCAGATCAAGTTCAATCTTCACTGATACAAAGCTGAACTTTTCAAATGGTTATTAGATATACCTTCATATTTAACAGCCAGTCTTTAGAGGAAGGGACCACCGCATTCTCTTAGTAGTGAGTATGGAGAAAGCTTCAGGACTTCAAATACCTAGCAGGACATTGTTGGACACATTTTTAAAATTTCTGCTAAAACATTCTGCTAACATTACTTCGTTTATATAACATTAAGAGTACAGGAAAATAAAACTTAAATTGTTAAAGAGAAAGCCAAATGGAGCTACCTCTTGACATGTCTGTTTAGTGAAACTACTTCAATAAAAACACACAATCTATTAAAAAGTACTAAAACTAGTGGCTAGCTTCAAGTTAACATTTTTATTGCTAAGTGTTGAAATTTCCTGCAATATTAAGATAAGGCTTAAACCCAGACAAAATCAGTTTTTAATGCTGGAAATGTCATTTATCCCAAATATAAAGTTTTGCCTAATTTTTTCTGACAAAAAAGTGTAACTTTTTTCTTCTTTTTGAGGAAGGAAAGTTATCTCTAAAGAAATAACTGCTGAATTTGCAGGATCTTTGGAGTACCTCTAACTATATGCCTTATTGACACACAGTTAAATATTTAAACAGCTGTTTCCTTCCTCTAAAGACCCAAAGAGGCAGGATCGTACTTAGCTTCTAGAGATCAAGTCCATACTCAAAAATCCTCCAGAGGGTCAGCCTTGGCGGTGGGCTCTGAAGCCGCGAGTCTGGGTTCCGCCTCCAGCCACAGAAATGGACTTATTTTCCACCCACTCCTTTTGGCCCGCAGGTTCTCCCAGTCCAGCAGTGTTAAGTATCAAAGATCCCGGGGCATTTAACATATGTACTTGATGCCCTACCTACGTTTACATCTTGGGGGTTTTCTGAAAAACACACACACACACACACACACACAAACACTGGGCTCCACCACAGCAAGACACGCCAGCTAGCTCGACCACAGCCTCGCTAGAGGTTCAACCCACTGTAATCCAGGTTCTCACAGCTCCGCCCGTAGCTTGACAGATAGCCAATGGTGTGTAAGGACTCTAGGAAGCGCGATGACGTAAGCGTTGACGGCCACGTGATGACGCAGACGGCGTTACCGTCTCCAAGGAGCGGTCCGGGGCACCGGTTTCAAAGTCGCAGGGCGGGCCGAGTGGACTTCCGCTGCTGGGCCCGGGTTTCCCCGCTGTCCTGGAGTCAACCGCTCCACCCCAAACGCTCTTCCGGGGACGCCGTCACCCGGCTTCTTGCCGGCTCCTTCGGCTATCTCCTAAGTGGCCCGATACGACCCCGAGTGACCTGCGGGACGGCTATAGCCACCTGCGTCCCCGTTTTACCCGGCCGGGATTCGGGTGAACGTGGAACAAAATTCACTTGGCGGGTCCCCAGCAGACCTGAAATCTGAAGTCTGTTGCTTGAGCGAGGGGCTACGCTGGGACTCGGTTGACGCCGCGTGAGTAGGATGCTGATTACACCGCTCGAGTGCTTGACAACCTCCGGAGCGTTGCTTTAGTTTTGTTTTCCTGCACAGCGAGCTGTGGGGTTTTTCTTTTTCGGTGGTGGTGGTGGTGGGGGGTTGTTTTGTTTTTGTTGTTTTTGAAGAAAGTGAAGGTGGTGAAAGCTCCAAACTAAAATTCTATCGAAATGGCCACAGAAATCGACTTTCTGAGAGATCAAAGTAAGCTCCATATTCCTTTATTGAGAATTCTTACATCTAAGGTTTAATGTCGTCATTGCTGACCAACTGTTTTTCTAATGCCTGTTTGGTGCATGGAAATTTGTAAAAATTTAAGTTAGCTTTGCAAAAAGCTTGGTAGTATGTATGAGGATGTGTATATACTTAAGCAGAACTGTTTGGTAAATCCTTGTAAGGTTCCTTTAGCTTACATGGGACTCTACTAGACACTAAACATGGTTGTTATGCTCCTCGCAAGCTCTGGAGAAATTAGAGGGTTAATGGCCAGGAAGAGTTTCCAAGTCTGCCATTAGAACCTGGAGGCACAGTTCTGGCCATTTGTAAAGAGATATTTATTGAACTCCTCCTGTTTCAGTTATGTACCAGGCTCTATACAGGCAGAGCTGCTGCAAAGATGAGGAGGACAGTTCTACCCTCCAAGAATTTAATGAGTTAGGAAATACATAAATTCCATACACTGAAGTGGCACCAAGTGCTAACTCTTTTGCCTCAGTTTCCTTATAGGGTTGTTGGAATGATTAAATGAGTATGAAAATATGTAAAGGATTTATAATAGTATCTGACATTAAACAAATGTGCTAAACAAATATTAACTGTTACAAGATTATTATTAACTGTGGTCAAAGGAGGTGCCATTTGGGCTGAAATTTGAAGTACTAATATGAATTTACTAGATAAAGAACTGTGTAGGTATCCCAAATAGAATAGTATATGCAGCGCTGAGGGGATTAGGAAGATGTTTTGTTAAAGATTTGCAAGAAGGTTGGCTTGTATGGAATGTGGTTTATATAGCAAATAGCAAGTGGAGCTGAAAGGGAAGAATGGGACTGGATAGTGAAGGGCTTTGTCTGCTGTGTGTTGAGTTTGGACCATTGCACAGGTTATAGGAACCACTGAAAGGAATTCACCTGAGAGTAGCATGATCAAATTGTGATTTGGAAAGCCTGGTATGGGTGTTATGAGGAATATGCATTATAGCAGAGTGCAGTTAGGTGACTATTACCTAGGAAGTGAACTAAGGTAGTACAGTGAGATTGGAGATTAGGGAATCAGAGAGAATGAGATAGAGGGCAACTGAGGTTTTTGCATTAAGCAACAGGGAAGGTAGGGAAAAAGTGCTAAGTTCCATTTTGGAAGCTTTATAAACCAGTGGTTAAGAACTCAACCTCTCGATTCAGTCTGTCTAGGTTCATATCCTGGCTTTATCTCTTTTCAGGTCTTCGACCTTTGGCAAGTTACTTAGCTCCTCTGTGCCTCAGTTTTCTCATTTGTAAAATGGGAAGAATAGCACAATAACCCTCACGGGGTTGTAAGGATTAAACGAGATGATGTAAATAAAGCATGGTTTCTAGTACATATTAAGTGCACTATATATATATTATCTAAAATTATTGATGCACTATAATGATACTATAACATTAGCATTATTTCTCAGGTTTGAAGTGGGAGTATCTGCCACCCCATAAGGAAGACTGGCTGGCCACCATCTTGAGTGGTGGGAGACAGTAGTTGGGTGATGAATTTGGTCGGGGTGGGGAGGATACCCAAGTCACCCCAAAACTATGAGTTTTAGAGGAATGAGCCAGCCATTTTTTCCTTTTAACTGGACATAGTGTGCCAGTTACAGCTGAGTGGGTTACCCCAGTAGGCAAAACACCTAGACACCAGCTGAGGTAAACATAGATGGCTTGACCTTCTCCCACCTATTCTAACCTTGTCTACACTGACTTCTTGATCTTGATTGCCTCTTTTTATTTGTTCCATTTGGATTTGGTGTTTCTCAACTTGGCAACCCCTGTGATAAAGCATTAGCTTTACAAATGACTACAGGCAATTCCAAACCAACCATGCTTCTAGTAAACTCCTAGCATATTTCCCACCTCCATCTGAGAAGGGAAATCTGATAGTCCTTAGGGACTTGTTCAAAGAGATACTTGTTTATCAAGCTAAGGAATGAAAAATCATTCTTGTAATGGGGATTTGGGAAGTGGAGATGCACTTATTTTTTCTTTTCATTCTCTGTGAAGTGTTCTTCACAGAGCAAAAGTTTTTAATTTTGATGAAGTTCTCAATTTGTTCTTTCATGGATGTCATATCTAAGAAATCTTTGCTTAATCAAAGGCTGCAAAGATTTTCTTCTGTTTTATTCTAGAAATTTTGCAATTTTTGGTTTTACATTTAGATTTATGATCCATTAGATTTATGATCCATTATGATCCATATTTGATCCATTTTACATTTAGATTTATGATCCATTTTGTATAAGGTGCAAGATAAGGGTCAAAGTTCACTTTTTTGCATATGAATGCAATTGAAAAGACTATCCTTTCTCCATTGGATTACCATTGCACCTTTGCTAAAAATCATTTGGCCTTGGGAAGCCTGGGTGGCTCAGTTGCTTAAGCATCTGCCTTCAGCTCAGGTCATGATCCCAGGGTCCTGCCATCAAGCCCTGCGTCAGGCTCCCTGCTCAGCGGGGAACCTGATTCTTCTCCCTCTGCCACTCCCCAGGTTGTGCTTTCACGCTTGCTCTCTCTCTCTCTCTGTCCAATAAATAAATAAAATCTTTAAAAAAAAATCCTTTGTCCTTATTTGTGTCCATTTCTGGACTCTATTCTGTTCCATTGATTTGTTTATCTCTTTGAGCACCAGTATTCCAGTGTTTTGATTATTGCAGCTTTATAATAAGTCATAGAATCAGATGATGTTAGCCTTTCAAATTTGTTCTTTTTCAATTATTTTGGCTATCCTAGGTGCTTTGCATTTCCATATGAATTTTAGGATCAGCTTGTCAATTTCTTCAAAAAGATGCTGAGATTTTGAGAGGCATTGCATTGAATCTGTTGATCAGTATGTGTAGGATTCATATCTAATGATATTGAGTCCTCTTATGAATGAAAGATATATTCTCTCCGTTGATGTATCTATTCTTTTATTTCTCTCGGCAGTATTTTGTAGTTTTTAATATATAGGTTTTGCACATCTTTATCAGATTGATCCCTATGTATTCTGTTTTTGATACTATTGTAAATGGTATTATTCTTTTACTTTTGATTTCTAATTTATCATTGCTAATATATAGAAATACATCCTTTTTTTGGAATATTGTACCCTGAAACCTTTTAAACTCACTTATTCTAATAGGTTGTTTTTAGAGTTCATCAGATTTTCTGCATAGACAATCTTTTCATCTGTTAATACAGTTTTACTTCCTCCTTTCCAATTTGGATGCCTTTCATTTCCTTTTCTTGCTTTATTGTACTGGCTAGAACTTCCAGTGCAGTATTGAACACAAGTGGTTGGAGTGGGCATCCTTGTCTTTTTCCTGCTCTTAGGGTACAAACATCTGTCTTTCAAAAATTAAGTATGATACTATAGATTTTTTGTAGATGTTTTTAAAAGGTTGAAAATACTTCTTTCTATTCCTAGTTTTCTGAGGCTTTATCAGAATGGATGTTGAATTTTTTTTTTCAAATGCTTTTTCTGCATTTATTGAGAGGATCGGATTTGTTTTCATTTTTAGTTAATAGGGTGACTTACATTAATTAATTTTCATATTTTAAGCCTGTCTTACCTCTCTTTTTGGGATAAACTACTCTTACTCATGTATTATCCTTTTTATATATTATAGATTTGATTTTTTGAAAGTTTATTTAAAATTTTAATTTTCTATGTTCATAAAGCCTTTTTTCCCCCTTCTAATTTCTTTGCCTGGTTTTAGTATGAGGCAATACTTGCCTCATAGAATTTGTTGGAAAATATTTTGTTTTCTTCAATTTTCTGGAAAAGTTTATGTAGGATTAACATTATTTCTTCCTTAAATGTTTGGTAGAACTTACCAGTAAAGTCAACTGGATCTAGAGTTTTCTTTGTGGAAAGATTTTACACTATAAATTTAATTTCTTTAATAGATAAAAAGCTACTCAGTAGTTTGTTGTGTACTCTTGTTTTGTTTTTGTTTTGGGTTTTTTGTTGTTGTTTTTGTTGTTGTGTACTGTTGTATACAGAGACCCTCCACAGATTTCATATATCCAGAGTTCTCTCTCTGTGTAGCTTTCTCTCTCATGCTTTGCCTTGCCAATTCTAGTTCACTTTGTCTCCACTTCCTTAACTCAGTCGGCCTATCTCTTGAGGCCTGCATTTTCCCTCTGTGCCACGGACTAGAAAGACTCTCAAGTCATTAAGTTGGAGCAGTCATAGGGTTTACCTCATTTGTTTTGCATCTGTCATCATCATTGTCTGTTGTCTAGCGTCTTGCAAACCATTATTTCATTCATTTATTTGCTTTTGGTTGTATTGAGTGGGAAGGTGGTCCTTGTTACTTCATCTTAGACATAAGCAGAAGTCTATTCAAATTACCCTGCTTTTGAAATCTTAAACACAAGTTTCTTACTCCCACTGTAACTATTCTTTGGCTTCATCAAGACTTCTGTTCTTTGAACTCTTCATTTTCCTCTATTTCCTTAACTCTTTCCCAGCTTGTTTTTACTTTCTCTTTTTAAGAAGGTTTATTCATTTTGGGGGGAGGGAAGAGCGTGTGCACAAGTTGGGTGTGCAGAGGGAGAGACTCTCAAGCAGATTTCCCACTGAGCACGGAGCCTGACATGGGGCTCTATCCAACAGCCCTGAGGTCATGACCTGAGCCGAAACCAGCTAAACCGACTGAGCCACCCAGGCGCCCCTGTTTTTACTACTTTCTTTACTGTAACCATTGCCCATTAGTTCATCTGCTCTTTTGTCAGTAATCTTTTTTAAAGATTTTATTTATTTATTTGAGAGAGAGTGAAGGCGAAAGATATCATAGAGGGAGAGGGAGAAGCCAACTTGCTGTTGAGCAGAGAGCCCGATGTGGGGCTCCATCCCAGGACCCTGGGATCATGACCTGAGCCGAAGGCAGTCGCTTAACTGACTGAGCCACCCAGGCACCCCTTTTTTGTCAGTAATCTTAATATGATTATATTGCTTTTTTGAGTAGCACATAC